ATAACGATACTGAGGGATACCGAAAGTAATAGCGGTGTGGCTCGTAGGGGGTTGGTTCTACTAAAAAACCTAAACGTAAGGGTGAGCCCAGCGTTCTTATTGGACCAAACGGTTCGATATTTTCTTGGTCGGATATCCTTATACAAACGCCCTACTGCACGGGAAAGGAAACGGCAAAATGAGTCAGTAACTCTTTGTACGACCTTGTACTTGGGAACATATCGTAAATGCGGGAGACTAACGATCGGCACCCAGAGTCGCAAAGTAACAAAAAAACGTGTGCAGGTGTCGTCCACGGCGAGCTGAAGGAAATGCGTGAAACGCTCCCGAACACTACTGAAGTCGACGTGAATTGTCGCAGTATACAGGGAGCATTCCGGAGCGTCAATAGTCTCAAAATTATAAACTATGAGAAGTAGCTTCAGCGAACGAAAAAAAAAAGCACCGGAAATTCATGTTCGGGCGAAACCATAGGGACTCAAGAAGTATGGAAAGGTTAGGCACAAGGTAGGATACTACAGGGACAATGCTGAAAACACGAAAGCAAATCAGTGAGTGAAACGACATCTGAGTATCTAGCCATGGAGAAAAAGCAGGACACCACTTTTACGATGTACTTTGTCGAAACAGGGAATACAACAAGAAAACGTAACGACACAAAAAAGATCCGTTTTTCCCCCTTTTCTTTTTTTTTAAGAACGGTTTTTTGTGTAGGGCCTTTGAATTCCCAACCGGCGGAAGTATAGAGCAACCGGTACTCCAAAGACAGTTCAGGACCGCTATTATAACGAAGGCAGATGACGGAATTATTTGGGGACGTCAGGGCATAAAGAACATGTTGAACGTGGTGACGGAAGAATAGTTTTGACAATACATGCAAAGCGAGGTTAAAAGGCATGTCCGCTCTTGTGATGTGTGCCAACGCACGGTTCCGAAGGGTAAGGTGGGAAAGGCACCCTTAGGAAACATGCCAACATTCGAGACATGATTCAAGACGCCAGTCACTACATTGGCGACATCTTGGTAGCGACGAGCTCATGGGAAGAGTATGTGCAGGCAGTTGTGATGATTTGTGAGCTCCTCACTCGCATATCCACAAGAAGACCCAAGGTTCACCACAGCCTCAGCTATGGGTTGTCAGGTCCAGATAGGCTGGGGCAATATATTGCGCGTTCTTTAACTAGCTCGTAATTGAAATCATGTCTCGCATTTTTGACTATAATACACCGCATTGCAATAAGAAGTTTAGATAAATACTTTATGGCGGTGCTCGTTTGAAATGTATCAAAGAAAACCGCTAGGTGCATTTGACATACATTTGCACTTGTATTATATATAATATACCTTTTGTTAAAATACATTTTTTAACGTAGTAAATATATTATATTCTTAGGAAACAAAACAAATACTGCTAAAACCACCGAATTATGTTCTTCATCCTAATACTACAAATAGAACAAAGTATATAATAATATTAAAACTCAAATACCAATACTAATTTATGTTCTCTGCCACATGAGATTTGCCAGTCTTCACTACGGTACAATATATCTAAGTAAATATCAGATCCCGAGTGTTTGTATATGTGCATGCTTATTGTGAGTTTTTTTTTTCTTGGTGTAGTTTTTTGAAGTTTTAAACGTAGCGGTCAGAGACGCGTTCCTGGCACAATAGTTTTACCGAGAAAACAGTGCGTTTATTCCCTTTAGATCAATTGCATTTTTTTTCATTCATGTCATCCATCCATGTAAAGTACGATAAAAGGCACAAGGGCATGTTTCTTTTCGTGCTTTTGCTGATGTGATTGTCAAATGGGTTTTATTATTAAAGTTAACGAAATTCAATTACTTGCCCTCAAATAGTTTGTTCCCGGGATGGCAATATTTGTTTTATTGCGGCGGTTTTGATAAAGAATTTTTTAATGACTTCTGGTCGAATTATTTGAGCTCTAGCTTGACCAAGACTGAACATGTGTCGGGCATTGAAGTATGCGACATATGTCCAAAATTACACATAGCATTCGATTTATCAAATGTCTTGAATATTGTTAAAATTCATCTGTAATTTATGCCTTGGCTGAAGCGACAAGTGCTTGATAACTTAAGCTGACAATCCGAATGTAGAACACGGCACAGAAATTGATTAAAACCAGCGGGTAAAGTTGTGGACTTCAAATGTTTAACACAATATTTAAGGGAACAATGTCCGCTCACGCAAGGTTAACTTAATCACTCTAGTATATTCAGTTTGAGAAAGAAATGATATCACGAGAGTAGAGTACCCTTCGGCAATTTATAATATTAGTTCTTGTTTTGCCTGAAATGTGGAATAAATTGTAAAAAGGAACGGCCCAAAAATTTAAAATAATATTGAAGCGAACGTTTCAAATGAAAAATATGATAAATAAATAAGGAAATAAAAGTCGCCTAGATAGTATCGAAACATGAGATGTGCTGGGTGTCTCAAATAAAGGTCAGGGTCTTTAAATCGACAGCAAAGGTCGGTTTCTTAAAAGGATACTCACAGGGTAATTATGCGCGCCAAGGTTTTTTCTTGTACGTGATATATGAGAGCCCAACTACCCAGAAAAGAACTTGCGGCTCTAAATTCGGTTTCCTTCTGCGCGAAAACCGCCAATCGAGAACTGGCCTGTTTGAGTCACGCTGACTCGATTTTCCGTTGTCACGGCCTGTTTTTTAAGGTTTTGACGCGACGACCAAAATTAATCAAAATTAATCAAATCAAATCACACTGAATACTAAAAATAGAAAAAAATATGAAACCCATTTGTGTGACTTCCAAAAAGCTCCAAATGCGTTGATTGAAAAAAAAAAAAAAGGTTACACAGACAACCGGAAGCATTCTGTGCCTTCACTGCATAATTCTCAACATGGCGTCGCGGGACTCGTGGGTGGCAGCGGACGACGGGCGTGGGACCTTTACTTCATGACTGTTGTTCATGGTACCGGGGAATTCTGCCTTCCTTCGAAAGAGAAATTTGGACCGATCCAAAGAATTGATATTCATCCCGTACGACACGCCCGACCAGCAAGCCGATTGCACGAAGATGTCGCCGAGCAGTCGTCTCTTCTTGTGGCTGAAGACATCGCTCGCTCAAACGTCAAGCACGAAGTGCGTACATCGACTTGACTACGCATTCGTACGGTCTTTTTACCTGGTGCGAATATGGCCAATCCGTGGTGCTGCCCGACTTCAAGCCGGGAGTGCATGTACTGAAGGAAAATCGGCAGCAAACTTTCCGACATATAGTAGACGGGGTGCGATACTACTACTAAAAGCGGCTTGCGTTCCGCGGGCGGCGAAAGACGCAGAGCCAAAAAGAGGCTCGGTAACAAGGAACTGCAAAGCAGACGACATAAGCACTTTGAAAAAAAAAAAATAAATACCAGTTAAAATAACCCGATAAATCATTTCTTATTCATTTGTGTCCATTGAATGTGGTTTATTGAAGAGGACGATAACATCATGCATTGGCACCTGAAATAGAAAAATCTGCGCCGCTTTTAAGTCAAAAATACCGTCTGCTATAATTTACGCCGGCTCTCGCCACCGAATGCTCGTTTGTTGGTGGCAGGTAGCGTTGCGACCACTTGCGCCATCTCTTCTCTAACGTGCCAAACTGCACCACGTTTGCATCGGAGTTAAGCTTTTTCTTTTTTTTTCTTTTTTTCTTCAGGTAAAATCGCTTTATGCAATAATTTTTAGAAAGAAATTCACTACCTGTGGGCAGCGCTGCACAAAATCGTAGCCCAATAGGTTAAAAAAACGATTTTTATTGTGGATTTAAAGAGCCTGGCTGGCTATTTGAGATACCTTGTAGTATCAAAAACTGGAAAGTCACAGAACGTCGAGAAATGAAGAGGAGCCTACATTTTATGTACGTCCCATTTTCGGTCAAAATATCAAATAAAAATTAATTTTTTTATAAAACATAGACGAGCCATTTGTGAAGACGTTCACTTACTGCAGGTTACCATGTTTAATTTTTCTACTACAATAATTGAGTAAATTTCGCGATTTTCTTTTGGAGAAGGGCGATATTATCTCTGCTCTACAGCCTTTAATTAACGCTTTAAAAGGCATTTTAAACGGCCCGCAAAAATAGCTTTCTCAATGTATCGCGCTCTGATTTCCTACGGAGGTGTAAGCAGATGGTAGATATTTGCGGCGAAAAAAACCAAAGAATAAACTTTTTGGCAATCTACGCCGCCGCTTCGCAGACGATTCACACGTACGGAGAAGTGCGGCCGGAAAATTACGTTCGCCGCGTCGAGGAATCACCGGCCGATTCTTGTTAGAAGAGCAGACGATCCCGTAAAAGAACGCGGATACGCCCGCGCTATCTTGACGTGGTGTACGCCATCTGTCATCAACACTTCTTACTACCCTTGCATCCTCTTCAAAGTGGCGGCATAGACTGCCAGAACAAGTTTCTGTTTTTCTTCTTTTTTTGAAAGAGGTAATGTACTGTAATGTAATGTAATGTTTTATTTGCTCAGGAGAGCCGCGGCACTGCAGTAAGGCAAGAGCCCGTACCAAGGAGGCACGCGGTGCCGTGTCTAGTGATGTTGATTATGTGATGGTGTAATGTACAGATGAAAGTTCATCTGTACATTACAGATGTACAGATGAACAATCAAAGAATGAAAGGTCATTCTTTGATTGTCTCACTCTATACTTCCACCACCTGCCTGCACCTCTGTAATAAATTTCAGCGCGATACAGTAAGAAACCGATCTCTGCCGGTTTTCTAAGGTGACTTTAGGGGGATGGTTGACATTCTGTAATTAGAATAATCTCAGATCTTCCCCCAATGCGCTGTGGCCGTATAGAGTTACTTTTTATCGAATACGATTGGTAAGAAACACAGAAGACACCATGAGTCCTTTGTGGGGGAATCCGTGCACACATCAGCGCCTATCAACAAACCGCTGATAAGCGGTCTTTGTAGTGTGAGACCAGCCGTATATCGTGGGGCTATTCAAAGAGCATCGATAACAAGGGAAGGTATCTAAGAAGTTCTTTAAATGCGAGAAGGCAGGCAGCAGTGACAAAGCTCACTTGGCACCGAAGAGTAACCTTTCAGGTTTGTAACATTTGTTTCACTGTAGACACCGGTTTAGAAACATTGGTGGCTTTTTTTTCTGAGATGCGAAAATACCTATCATTTATGCAAACCTATGTCGTGCCCACACTTCAGCTGTACTGAAATTCTCTAGTGTCCAAATAGTAGTTAGTATGCCTTTCGCGAATAATTATATTTTGTCTCTGGTGGAACCTGTACACCAAACTAAAGACGCCGTATATAATATCTGAGTGCAGTGAAATTATTGTTTATTTGACGGGCTATATTTAAGAATTCTAAACAAGCTAGCGTCGAAAATGGACGCGATAATTAGCGTTTTTTTTCTTCTGTTCATTGCACGCCCAAACTACATATTTGTTCATATTTGTGTTTCTTGCAATGCAATGTCCAGCTCATTGCAAGATTGGATTGCCAAGCTCAGTTAACTTTCCTCGGGCGTATGATTTAAAAAATAGAGCCGTGTGCGCTATTCAGGAAGCGCAATTCTTGGAGCAAAGCTTTGTTGTTTCTTTGTCTTGGAGTTTAGGGCCTTAAAGAGCACGAAAAAGTCTAGAGTCTATCTAAACCTTCTCCGTCGAGAGTGTATACGTCTTGGCAGTAATTTGTCAAACAATTAAGCCAAAGTTAGGCTCCACTGCTGGGTAATTGGTTGTCATCTTGCACTTTTTGGCCTAAATTGCCGAGCAAGTGCCAATTTTAGCCTTAATTTTGGGAATATCTGTGTTCACGTCGCCATTTTGGGAATAAATTGACGAACAAGTGTCAGATTTAGATTTTTCTGTTGGTTTTTGGGGTTCTTACGTGGCTATGGTGAAGGTATTGCCCTTTTAAAATAATGTGGGGACCCAGAAAGAATTATTATAAATCCTAAATACAAGTACATTGGCGCCTATCTTTTGGAGTTGAACCGTATAAGGCCTAAGTGAAGCACCACGGAATTTCCAAGATTGTGAAAAGTTAGGCGATTCTCTGGCGTGCTACCGATAGAGATCTTTACAAGTCAAGAAGTAATATTTTATTAAATTTTCTTCTGCTTGCTTGCATACCCATAGACTATATAAATATTAACTTTCTTTAAATTTAAACTTTCGCAGTCACCAATGCCAAAGCCGTGTCGATATTTTGATTGATCTTGTTCATTACATCCTCAGCAATGTTCCTGCGAAGCTGAATAAATAAATTAATAAAAAGTAACGAAAACTAGTTTTCTTACTGGTAGTGACAAGGAAAGTAAGACGACACAGGGCAGTGATGATTAGAAGCCAAGCTGATGAAAGTTAGATATATGGAGAAAATACAGTCGCCTTTGTTTTTTTGTTCTTCTATTTATGGGGAAAGGGGGGGGGGGGCAGTGATTTTCGACAGAAACTGTTGTCTTCACGATTTGAACCCTGACTCTCCGAATCTGCCAAACATAGTTCTCCGAGTGTGTAAAAAATCGGCAGCGATGATGACAAAAAAAAAAAAAATAGATGACTGAAACAACGCATGAAAAACTACGCCAAGTGCGAAGCACTGTTTATTGACCCCAGCCGTTGGAAGGTAACGAAACGTTTGTGCGTTCTCAATGAATTATTTACAAACACAAGCTAAACTAAATAGACGGAACGGAGTGAAAGAGTGGTGCTCTTTTAAAGGATAAGAAAGGATAAGAAAGGATAAGACCTTAAATCTTGGAATATATAATTGTTCCCACGTTTTTCTGTTGAGAACTTTTGGCACATATTGCGAAAAATGGCTGCATCATCAGAAGTAAAATTTTCTACGAGAAAGGGAAAAACGGAGTGTCACAGGTCCTTGACCGCGAAAGTGAAAATTCCAAGGCACCTCCAACTTGCTCTTCCTGTTCCACGTAGCAATAGTGATTTATTGTTGAATCATTTTTAGGGTTCTCATAAAATAAATATTTAGAGCATTAATGCATGTACACAGCTTATGGTAGGCTACACCCCAGCGGCAACTATAGATTACGCTAATGGCTGTACAAGCAGCCTGAGGAACGAAGATTTTGAGGTCGTACTGCAGATTTACCTTATACATTTTTTAAATGCTAGGTTGCCGTTGATTAGATAGGAGGGCGGAATTAGGACTGCACTCTTACAATTTGTGAACTACCAATTTTAGGTAGTGATGTTTCACAAAAAAAGCAAAGAATATTTAGGTGTCGTAAAGATTAACGTGCCAGCAAATTTAAATAATATTGTCTGTATTCTAAGAATGGTATGTATTTCTGAAATTACGCACGTAAGATGTCAAATGTTACCTGTTACGCACGCCGTGCTCAGGAATGTTCATAAATATCACAAAACAAAATAACTGAAACCCGAAACCGGAGGTTATACTCATACCTATATAAGACAGTTTTGTTCTTCTTTTTGTTGTCCTTTAAGGCGTAAATAATTTTAATTGCGTCTAATTGAGGTACGGCGCGCAGGGATCAAACAGGTTTCAGGTTGAGTAACCGGAAAATGGAATATTCCAAGGCCAGCAGAAAACAAGGGTGACCCTTCTAGCGCTGATCGGAGCTTTTTGTCCAACCCAGGCCGTGTATTTGTGCTGCTTCAGCATCGCCATAAATTTATCGAAAATGTCTCTGTCGGATCGGCTGGCTGTCGTCACCGGGGGCGGAAGCGGCATCGGCAAAGCAGTCTGCCACGCCCTTGTCAGAGAAGGGGCGGTGGTCGTCGTAGCTGATATCAACTTGGAAGCGGCAAAGAAAACAGTTGCTGAACTAAATGGTAGGTATTGTGAACTTTCTAGAACTGGGAACTTTTAATAATTGGGCACAACCCTCGCAGTTGAAATGAAACTCCTGGAGAGAGCGAGGTGGGTGCCTGAAACATATGAAATACTACTTCACGCCTTGTGATATCAAAGCACAATTTATGAACCAGTATTATTTTTGTGTGCTTTTTATTAAACACATAACCTTTTTTTCTAGAAATATGTCTATAGATTCGACTTCTATATTCAAGAAACCAACTTCATGCAACATGGCGCCATAAAGCTTGCGTACGAAAGCAATATGTTTTTTTTTTATTAAAAAAAAGAGTTAGTGCTGAAAAACATTTCACCAAAAAATCGTAGTTGTGAGCCTTGCTTTCATCTTGTAGCTTTTTTGTGTCCAATTCCTATTCTACGCATAATTTCAAGAACAGAGACAGGCGTATAAATGATTTTGGTGGAAAAAATTATATAATATGCAGCTCCTACATAGTTAAAATGGTGGTCCCTTGCACCTGAGGCGTCAGGAGACACAATATGACGCATAAACGTGGCAAGAACCTGATAAGGCTGGGTACAAGGACCTTTGTTTGAAATACAGGGTTCATGCAGATAGCATTGTCGTCAGGGGGGTGAATGATAATGTCAGGTGTAGATATATTCGTGCCTGTCTTTCAAGCATGGACAGTACTTCAAACACACATTGGTTTTCACAAAGCGTCTTATCCGAGGGCAGTGTTTTGTGAAGAAAGAACGATTATGTGCAGTTCCGGAGGTTGTCAGATATTTGCCCTCAATATCCATGAGTGTCTTGATGACCGCTGAGCACATCGGTACAGCAAAAACGTTTACCTAAAGTTAAACTTATAAGGAGGTTTCATTTGCAATTTATGTTATAAAGACCAACTAATTTTGTACTCGAAAACCCACCCAGAATAGTGGCCCGTATGAAGGTTAACACATCACAGCCGACCTATTGGTATAAGCAGAGCCTCAGGAACGGACGAGCGCGACGCCGTGCGCGCTTTAACTTATCCATTATTGCGAGCCTCGTCGCGTTTGGTTAGGAAATGGCGGTACGTAAATGTTGTCGATTGTCTCTTCACCTTCCCATGAACCTCGGCCGCTTGACCTGAACTCAGCTCCCTCTCTAAGTTAGAATAACTCGCTCTCATTGCGGGGAAGCGGAGGAGAGGTTTTCTTCTGAGTCTTGGTTAGAGGAACCTCTGATGCGTAATCCAGACACGAAAGCATATGTAAAATTCAGTTCTACAAAACACTATAGATGTACAGATATAAGACTCCTTTCTTCAATTAAAATTGTACGTGATTTTGTGAAGCACTAAACTTTGAAAAAGGCAAAACATTTAGGGGTTTATGCGCTTGGCTGGGCTGTTGTTTCTGCCTGCCTTTCTTTTGAGTAAACGTTGCTGATCGTTTTCGGAAGTTACAAAGCCGCGTTACATAATGCGCGCGAGCACGACCTAGCAGATTGTGTTCTATGTGTTAAAAAGTGGCAGCAGTAGTGACAAGGAAGTCTATTTCCTATGTGCTGGATAATGTAAATCGGAAATAATCTCGACCACGGGATATGTGCTTGTCGTTTATTCCGCTGTTTACTAGGCAAAGCACACGTGGCACTTCAAGTGGATGTGGGCGACTCTACCTCCGTCGCAACACTCATCAAGAAAGTCGGCTCCCAATTCCAAACTCCGCTGAGCATCGTGGTGAACTGCGCCGGTGTGGCCAAGATGTCCTCGGTCGTGGATATGCCGGAAGAAGACTACGACCACCAGTTGCGAGTAAACCTCAAGGTTTGTTTTATTTCGCTTCTACATAAAGCAGGTCATATCAGCAAAAAGTAGTATGTATTCCAATATTGCAAATAGGATAATCAGTATAAGTGAAATTAGCTTATCTAATCACCAGAAAACTTCGTCGTCAGGTCAAAAAAGTGCTATTAAGGAGTATACAAAAAGGAAAGTTATCTTTAGCGGCCCTATTTTGATTCATTCCTTTAGTGATGAATATCGGATGGTCAGATGCATTACGCTGAACAAACAACAGCAATCTAAAAAATGGCGTCTTAACGTATAGCTCTTTCTAAACCTACATCATTACCAACGCGCTCACTAACAACTGTAAAAAATGGCCCTTATTTAATTGAAGGCTTTGGGCAGTTTGTGAGAAGTGTTCAATGGATTATAAAATTGCCAAAAATTTTCTGTACAACCTGTGTCAGCTATCTCAGGGTTATGAAATAAAATCTCCTAGGACCGTTTGAGGATTCGACTTTTATTCATTATGACGGACGTTCCTCAGCATCCCGGAGTAACATGTTTTTTGTTTCGTCTAAAACGCTGAGTGTGACAAAGAGGCGACAATACGTTTGGCCCTATTGGGAATTGGGGAGTACGTTAAACTGTGAGGTGTCTCTTTTGGCGCGTAGTTTAAGCAGTGTTAAGAAACGCGCTCACACTATCGACAGAACGATCATTGAGTTTACCATTGTGAACATAGTAGAATTGGCAATTAAAATATATAAAAAGCCGGAAAGACCTGTCAAGCAAAAAAAGCAGCTCATATGCCGCAACAGTTTTACGCTTTGGCAACTATGAATTAAACGTAGCTGGCATTTCTTTGCAACTCCGAATACCGTAAGCCTCCCAATATTTGTTTCTATTCTAAAAGCAATAACCGGCCGTGGTTGAAACGCTATGTCGTGGTTAGAGTTTGCTTTCAATTGAAAACTGAAAGGACGAAAGTTCGCACAGAAACCGTTATAACTATCATAATGTACAAACTATTCTTAATTACCTACATTGATGACTCGAGTCCGCGATTAGGTTCCGGCACAAACCATATTGAAGTGCGTTCGAACTTGACCAAAGCTGCTAGTGTTTAACCAGCTAAAATACAGCAGTAATTGTCTTTTAAAGTTGTATAACGTTTATCATCATAAGGAGCCTCTGATGTAACAAAGTTTTCATTTCGTCCCTCTGGCTTTGTATGCTGAGATGCAAGTGAAAGAGTGATGCAATTATAACAATATGTTTATGTTTATGTTGATAGAGCACTTGATTTTGTGCATTATTATATCGTTATTAGCCGATTGAGTTTGTACATGGCGACTGATCATAAACATCTGAGTTTTGGAAGCAACAACTCGAGGTGGACGACATCTATAAAAAATAGTACATTTTACTTGTCGATTGCAGTTTCCTTCCCAGAAAACTAAACAGATTGTCTCCCACAATGAAACCCTTTCAATGCATGAAACATACTGGAACCCCTACTCCGAGTTAGTTGTCCATTCACACACCCGTTGATGCCCTACGGTGCGTACGCGGCCGGCCATTAAAAACATTAGTTTGGTTACGCAAGCAACACAAGGAAAGCAATGCACGCAATCATTTATTCGGGAGTAAACCAATATGTGCGCATCCCCTGCCAGAAAAAGAAACAAGAACATCTCTGTTCCCAGCTCAATGCTATATTCATATCATTCTGAGTATAATCGCATACTCAAATTACGTTTAATTAAGTGCTTCATTATAAATACTCAAATTAAGTTTAATCAGGCACTTTCGGAGTAATTTTGTAATATAACGTTTACTTTTGTAGGCAGTAGCCAAAATAGTAATATCGTTACTTTTGAAGATATTGAAAGTACTTGTAGCCCTTGCTACTCGAGAACTCCTGCCCTCTCCTTTGCTCCAAGTTTACCACCGTTTAGTCCCTAGAGTTTGAGCTGAAACTGCTGCGATATGTCCATATTATTGACTTGTAAATTAAGCAAACAACAATGAATAAAACGTTTGTCACCGAGCTATACAAAGAAGGTAAATTTTGCTTTGCCTGGACAGTTAACATATTTGTTTGTTGTGTCCCAAGTTTCGGCTGTGTCCCGGAGATAATCAGAATGAGATAATTGCAAATCTACGGTGTGAAAAAGGAATGCTATATTTTTCTTATATGCATGATAAACCGCTGAAATTTCATAGCAATCTACCAATTTTCTTCAGTTTCAGGGCTTAAAATGTTTTCAGAATTAGGTTACGTGGGTGAGGCACTAGCAAGCGGGAACGTAACTTCTAGACACGAGGCTACAGATTATATCAGCTCTATAGCGAAACTGCGAATAGAACGAGCTTCCAAAACGTCGCATATGTGGGCCTTATTGTTTATTTCTTAAGCTGAAGTTTGTAGAAACAAGGTTTTACCCCTTGCCTTCCTAATAGCCTTTTTTTTACGTGTTTCCAACAAAGGAAATTTCGAAGAAAGTTTCTGTTTGGGGGGGGGGGGGTGTTCTATAAAAGAGGTGGATAAAGAAGATGAGATATTTTGATCTAGTGATCCTAACAATGTATTAAAGATGACGAAAGGCCGTTTCCAAACTGGCAGAACACTTTGCCTTTTTAAATATATGAAGTAACTGAAAAAGTAAAGTCGCTTTTTTTAAGTGACCTTCAATAACTCTTGCTCTTAAGAAATCAAGTAATCTATATCGTCACTTTTAACCAAGAGTAATTGTAATTGCAATCTGTAACCTGATTTGGGCAACGTGCACTAGACTGGTTAGATGCCACGCTTGATTTCTTTGTGCGTGCATCGGCTTTGTGAGTGAATTGTAAGGGCATGCAATTACCCCCTTCGACAGTTACCAGGTGCGCATACTTTCTCTAGGGATGTTGTAGATGAGGGTAAAGACAATCGTTTTTCCACACCTAAAGTACTTCATATTGCGTAAACAAATTGAAACGATCACGTTTTATATAAGTCATTTTTTGCATGTTATGCACGTGTAAAACGCGACTGATTTTTTTCTTAATGCTATTAAGAGCATATATACAAAGCAGGACAAATATATGCACAATTTCAATCGATATCCGCACCTATAACTGCCTTAGAAAGATCAACTTATAACTGGGATAAAAAAAAAAAAAACACCTTAATCGCTGACGGCACAAAGTTTTTTATTTTCTTAGAAGACAACACAATGACTCGCCGTCTCGAAAGAAGGGGCTAGTTTGAACTGTTGCCTGAGGGCGTTAGAAAATATTGAGCCCGTTTTTAATTCCCGCAACACTGCAAAATCTGAAATATGGAAACCATTCCCAATATTATGAATGATCTGACCAAGCAATTGAATGTCGTGCTGGCCAAAGTTTGTCTTTATTATTTTAAATATATATTTATATTTTTTTTTGTATTTTCAGGGTACCTTCCTTGTCAACCAGGCCGCTGTAAAGTCGATGCTGGTGAGCAAAGTACCCGAGGCCGCTGTCGTGAACATAGCCAGCATTTTGGGCAAATGCGGTCTGGCAAATGCTGCCGCCTACGCAGCCTCCAAGGGTGGCGTAATTGCATTCACCAAGTCTCTGGCTCAAGAGCTGGCTGGTACAAACATCCGCGTGAACGCCCTACTGCCAGGAGTAACGCAAACCCCGATGTTAGATTGCATGACCGAAGACAATCTGAAAGCGCTCATCGGTTCTGTTCCAATGAAGAGATTAGCGCGCCCCGAGGAAGTGGCTGACGCAGCGGCATATTTGTGCTCTCCTGGAAGCTCCTACATTACTGGGACTAGCATGGAGGTCGCCGGTGGGTGGTTCGCTTAAAATTAAAATATGGATTAGTGGTAAAAGGCTTTTATTTCTCGCTGCCCCAATAAAATGACGGTATTTCCGTTGCTCTTATTTTGTATGTTTGTGTTTTGGTATTTTCACTTCCTAGCCCTTTATAGCTAATAAAAATAACTGTTTAATGTTATACTGTCACGGGTGGTGACCAGAATAACAATAAATAAACAGGAAGAACTAAACGTTTAATGTGGCGAACTTGTGCCAATACAAAAGGAGAATAGAAAATAATAACAAAGCGTCGCGAGCGTCGAGGTCGGCGAGACAGCAGATTCGAGCGCTGGGGCGAAACTGACTCGACAAGGTCGCGGGCGGCCTCTTATCTAGAATGAGTCACTATCTCGAAGATTCGGCGGAGAAGGTTCGAGCGTAGTGCGCTCGGGGCGAGAATGAACAAGCACTTTCTAGAACAACAAAAACAAGGATGAACGATAGTTATGTCCGCAGCAAGAATGAACGAGAACTTTCTACAAGTCCGTGACCCTGCGCGCGGCATTATCCCCCCCCCTTTAAAAAGTGCATCGTCCCGATGCAGCACAAAACGAAGAACAACAAACAGAAACAAATCCAAAACAAAAAGGCAGCAGAATCGCGAGTCGCAGTTCACAGTTCACAGTTCACCCGTCGACGAGAGTGGAAAGTTCTATCGTTCGTAATGCGGCTTCAGCCGGACGACGTGCACCACCTCGGGTCGCGGTTTACGTCTTGCAGATGGCCGCGTTCCGTCGGGTAGAACTTCGTAGTTCAGATCGCCGAGGCGTCGGATGATCTTGTAGGGTCCGAAATAGCGTTTCAGGAGTTTTTCGCTGAGACCGCGACGACGTATTGGTGTCCAAACCCATACCCGGTCTCCGGGTTGAAAGTGGACGTCCCGGCGACGAAGGTTGCACCGGCGTGCGTCGACTCGCTGTTGGTCTTGAATCTTGACTCTTGCCAGTTGACGAGCTTCCTCCGCGCGCTGGGAGATGAGTTGAGCGTCGTCGTTGACATCACCGGTTGGCACGTGAGGCAGCATGGCGTCGAGCGTCGTGGTAACCGTCCGGCCGTGTACCAGTTGGAACGGTGTCATTCCCGTGGTTTCTTGAACCGCTGTGTTGTAGGCAAACGTGACATACGACAGCACCTCGTCCCATGTCTTGTGCTCTACGTCGACGTACATGGAAATCACGTCGGCGATGGTTTTGTTGAGTCTTTCCGTCAGCCCGTTGGTCTGCGGGTGGTACGCCGTGGTGCGACGATGGCTGGTGTGGCTGAGACGAAGGACTTCTTGCGTCAGCTGGGCCATGAAGGATGACCCGCAATCTGTAATCAGTACTTCAGGTGCGCCGTGTCGAAGGAGAATGGACTCGACGAAAAATTTGGCGACTTCCACTGCTGTTCCCGATGGCAGGGCTTTCGTCTCGGCGTATCGTGTAAGATAATTGGTCGCGACGATAATCCACCGGTTTCCTTGAGTCGATGTTGGGAACGGCCCAAGCAAATCCATTCCGACTTGCTGGAAAGGCCTAGTCGGGGCAGGTAGCGGCTGCAGGAGTCCTGCTGGCTTCGTCGGAGGCCTCTTACGTCGTTGGCACTCATGGCATGACCGTGTGTACAGGTGGACTGTTTTCGGGAGTCTCGGCCAGTAGTACTTGTCACGAATCCGGGTGAGCGTCCTGCTGTATCCAAGGTGTCCAGCCGTCGGGTCGTCATGGCATGCTTGAAAGATTTCTTCTCGCAGGCTGGCCGGAACAACCAGCAGCCAAGCAGGGTTGCTCGTTCCGAAGTTCTTCTTGAAGAGCACACCTTGCCGCAGAACGAAGCTTGACAAGTCTCGGGCCAAGACTCGCGGAACTGAACTTCCTTGGCCTTCGAGGTGTTCGATCACGGCGCGAAGTTCCGGGTCGTCTCGTTGAAGTGCTCCCATGTCGGCATCTGTAACTGCACCGAGAAAACGGGCGTCGTCGTCGTCGTCAGTGCTTTCGGGAGGAGATTCGACTGGGGCCCTAGACAAACAGTCGGCGTCGTTATGCTTGCGGCCAGACTTATGCACAATGGTCACGTCGAATTCTTGCAATCGCAGACTCCAGCGAGCGATGCGTCCTGACGGGTCCTTGAGGTTGGCGAGCCAACAGAGAGCGTGGTGGTCCGTGACAACGCGAAACGGGATCCCCCGCAGGGGGCACCTGTGAAAGCAGGTGTTTGGAGAGTGGCGTCTCCACGGACCCCGAGCCATGCGGGTTCGCCCGCCCACGTCTGCTGTGCGTGGCTTTCCCGTGTCCGGGGAAAAGGGCATCCTGGTGGTTGAGCCGAGCCCGGGGTAGGTTTGGACCCTTCGGGGCCCCCCGGGCGAGGCAATACACCACTTCGGCCCCCGCTTCCCGTAGACGGGAGTCCTGGCTTGGCCCGACCAGGATGATTCAGCCTAGTCGCCACTTCTACTATCCCCTCCTTTCTTTCACCCTTGTCTTCTTCTTCTTTTCACTCTTCTCATTTCCCTTCTTTCCTTTTTCAACTCCTTTGGCGGCAAGGGCTAACCTTGGGTGGTGACAGATACTCTCGTCCAGATCCACACTTGGTTATAGTTTCTGGGTAGCGCTAATAGAGTAATGCTTCCAGCAAAGCCATATTTGTTATGGGGTGTTACCTATTCCCTCGTTGGGCTCCGTGGTGGGCGGCGCGCCACAGATTCCGAACACTCCTTGCCCTCTTATGGCGCCCCTCTCTTCCAAACCCCGTTCGGGGCAAGCCGTTAAAAGGCGCTGCCCTGAACACAAGACTATTGAAAAAGAACCAGAGGTAGAAAACTTCACGAAGTTTTTCGTTGTTCATTCCCTCGATGAACAGAAACCTGTTTCAAAGCTTTCACCATTTGTCGTCGCCAAAGTACTTGAACACCTTGTAGGGTTTTCCTACAAGGCTAAAAAACTCCACTCAGGAGACCTCCTTGTTGAGATAAATAATAAAAAGCAAAGTGAAGCGCTCCTCAAGCTGAACACCATACTTGATGTAAAAGTGTCGGTGAGCCCTCACCGCACACTGAACACCATCCGAGGAGTCCTCTCTGAAGACGACTTCCTTCACACTAGTGAGGAAGAACTCCTCGAGGGACTCCAAGGTGCCGGCGTTGTCGCCGTAAAACGGATTATGTTCAAAAAAGATGGTGAAGAAATCCATTCAAAACACGTCATCCTTACATTTGAACGACACACACTGCCACAAACAATCAAGGCTGGATACCTGAACTGCCACATCCGCCCTTTTGTCCCCAACCCCCAGCGGTGTTTCCGTTGCCAGCGTTTTGGTCACGGAACACGCAGCTGTCGAGGGAAGGCGACTTGTGCAAAGTGTGGCAGTCAGGATCACATCTCTGACAATTGCGAGAATGTGGCCCACTGCGTTAATTGCGATGGACCACACCCTACCTACTATCGTGGCTGTCCCATATGGAAGCAAGAGAAGGAAATCATTGCCATTAAAGCCAAAGAAAATATCAGCTATAGCGAAGCGAAGAAAAGGTATTCCTTCTTGTCGAAGGGATCGTACGCCGACGTGGCACGGAGGGGTCTTGTGCCACGCTCGGAGTCTAGGGCTACCCAGGTCTCACCTGAGGTTCTGGAGGCAGCCCTCAGGGCCCCAACCCCCCAGCCGGGGCAGCAGTGCCCCCCTCTTCATGGAGGGAGTGCACATGCTGGTTCGCTGGTTCTAGACAGGCCGGCAAATGCCGCACCTGTCCGCACTTCGCGGTCTTCTCCCGGGGAGAGGGGGCGAAACTCCCGCCCGACCTCCTCAGAGAGGACCTCCTCTTCGAAAGAGCGGCACAACCCTCGTGCCGCTCCCCCAGTACCCAAGGGGCCGGAGGAGGCAGAGTTGAAAGATACTCTGCCCAGCACCTCCGGTGCCTCTTCGGCTGGTCGTGGCCGGGGCAAGCCACCCCGCACAACGAGCCAGCCAAAACCTTCAGGTAAAGGCTCGCCTCCAGAAATAGAGGCGATGGATGATACCGCTGAGTCACCCACTCCTGCATCCGACGAGGGTGACATGGAGTGGCAGACTTTGAAGTCTAAAGGGAAAAAACCAGTGGTCCCTCCCAAATAACCATTAATTTCATACTCTCAATTTCTTCATTGCCTCTCTCTTTTTTAATTTTACACTTCACCTTTTTAGATAAATGAAGAATTTGCATTTTATGCAGTGGAACTGTCGTGGTCTTTTACCCAATATTGATGACGTTAACTATTTTATGGATGATCTTCGGCCTATTGCCCTCTCTTTACAAGAAACTCATCTTCAAACACATCATACACAGATTTTACGACGTTATCAAGTGTTCCGCAAAGATCGTCTGAGCTCCAGTTCTGGTGGCGTAGCAGTGGTGGTGCAGAGCGGGGTTGCCTGCTCTGAGGTCCCTCTGTGCACACCGCTCGAAGCTGTAGCGGTACGCCTTCTTTTAGACCGCCTCATTACAATTGTGTCCATTTATTTGCCACCAAACGTTCCATTGCAACTTCACGAACTTCAGGGTCTTGTAGGACAGCTTCCTCAACCCTTCTTAATTTTAGGAGATTTTAATGCCCATCACCCCATGTGGGGTAGTACTCGCCTCGATTCTCGAGGCCGAGTAATTGAGCGGTTTTTATTATCATCTAACTTGTGTATTTTTAACGGGAGAGAGCCTACTTTTTTTAGTTCTGCTCACAACTCATTTACATCTATTGACCTTTCTATTACTTCACCTTCATTACTTCCATGCTTTTCATGGAAGGTTTTTAATAATCCCTTTGGGAGCGATCACTTCCCGATTGTTTTAGAGAGTACTGTCTCTCTTCCGACTCTGTTAACACGAATGCCCCGATGGAAACTAGATAAGGCAGATTGGTCCATTTTTCAATTAGAGGCACTGATTGATTCTTCTATAATTTCAAACATGAATCCAGATGAAGCAACGCTGTATGTCACAGAGGTTATAATACATGCTGCCACACGGAGTATCCCTCAAACGTCTGGTCGTCTTCCTAAGAGATGCAAGCCATGGTGGAATGATGACTGTAAAACAACACGAAAGTCCCAGAACAAAG